GGAGCAGCAAGGCACGCTGGAGAAGCTTAGCAGGGAGCCTGATGACGATAATGATGACATGTGGCCTTGATTCCAGGATCCTGGGATCATGACCTGAGCCAAAGTCAGACGCCCAACGGACTGAGCTACCCTGGTGTCCCCCATCCCCCACCCCAAATATTTTCTTTGTTCTGACTAGTTTGGCATCAAAACAGGTATCACTTTTATTTAATTCAGGTTTTAGGTCAGTTCAGGATGTTATGTTGCAGTATGTTACAATCTTCTCTTTGAACTTCTTTTTGTTAAAGTACTTTTCAGTGAATATTAACACTGGAAAATACCAGCAAACATTGTTGGGTAGTATTTTCATAACATAACATTCAGATCTCTTAGCAAAGTTAGCAGCACTAGTTAGAATCACTTAAAGAAATTGCCAGTTTAAGGACTTACTTTGCTTCCAAAATGTACTTCTCTGAACATCACTCATTGAATTTGTATAAAGTGTACTATGCATATAATGTTATTAATATTTATTTTATTTGCAAGAGTGACTCACTGCTAGCAGCAGGTGGGGGCCACCAACACATGTACACCAAGGCAACCACCACCAGCGAGACTGATTCGCTCTTGACAACTTCTCTCCTAACTTTCCCTGGCTCACTTTGGACTGCTTTTGACTTGTCGGCGGATCCCTTTGAATCAGTAATTTTTCTCTATTAGTTGTTAATCTTTAATACTGATTGTTATACTTCATTCTAATTATAATATTTCCTCCTGTCTTCCCAATGTCTTGGCTGATTTTTTCCTTTAGATTTGGAAAAACATATTCAGTTCCTTACAGTCCTCAAGAAATGCTTGAATGAAACTACCAAGGATAAATCACCAATTGATTTATTCCCCCAAAGTTGCCAGATCCTGATAGTTTGGGAGTTTTAATAGAATCTTCAAGAAATCAAACTTTCTCAAATGTCAATGTCTTTCTGCTGGAGACCTCCAGGAAGTCAGCTCTAGTAAACCCAGTTGTATTTATTTCTTGTTGCAGGGAAGAAGAATACACACTACTGGGAGCTATGGGCTGTCACAATAAAAAGGTGTTCGAAGCAGCTGTTAGATAATTTAGACTTTGGTTGATGACTAGAGGGAGAGTCTAATAGCAGAGATCTGTTCTCAACTGGATGCTGTGAGAAAGCCAGGGCAATTCTATGATTGGGCATCTCAATAAAACTTATCTATAGGGAGAGAAGTCTAATACAGGAATAAAGCTGTAATTTGTAAAGAAGTAGTAACCATTCATTTTGGCCAAAAGAAAGGGTGTTTGATATTTTGTGGGACAGAGTGATCTTGTTTTTGTCTGTGGTTTAGACAGATTCATGAAGTGCTTTGCCTTATTTTATCATGGTTTTACAATGACCTTGTCCGAGGTTGGGATTCCATGAGATTATTTCTAGTAGGACAATAATATGGCTTAGCCATGAGTGTCCAGCCAGCTTTGGAATGGCAGGGGCTCTTCTTGTCTTCCTTTTTCATGTGCTATTTTTAATATTTTTATTGAAATAATGCACATACAGAAAAGTATAATTTTTTTATTTTTTTTGAAAAGTATAATTTTTAAAAAGATTTTATTTATTTGAGAGAGAGAGAGTACCAGCAGGAGGAGGGGCAGAGAGAGAGGGAGAAGCAGACTCCCCACTGAGCAGGGAGCCCGACATGGGTTAAAAGCAGACACTTAACCACGAGTCACCCCGTTGCCCCTAAAAATTTTTATTTATTTATTTGAGAGAGAGAGGGAGATAGAGAAAGCACAACTGGGGTAAGGGGAGAGAGAGAGAAGCAGGTTCCCTGCTGAGAGGGAACTCAATTTGGGGCTTAATCCCAGGACCCCAGGAATCATAACCTGAGCTGAAGGCAGATGCTTAACCAACTGAGCCACTCAGGTGTCCCCAAAAGTATAAAAGTAAACTTTCATAAAGTGAACATGTCTGTGTAACCAGTGTTTCACTCAAGACTATGCACTCTGCTGGCTTTAAAATAAAAGATTCATTTATTTATTTGAGAGAGAGAGAGAGAGAGAGAGAGAGAGAGAGAGAGCAGCCCAGGTGGCTCAGCGGTTTAGTGCCACCTTCAGCCCAGGGCGTGATCCTGGAGACCCAGGCTCAGAGTCCCATGTCAGGCTCCCTGCATGGAGCCTGCTTCTCCCTCTGCCTGTGTCTCTGCCTCTCTCTCTCTCTCTCTCTCTCTCTCTCTCTCTCTGTCTCTCATGAATGGATGGGTAAAATCTTAGAGAGAGAGAGAGAGAGAGAGAGAGAGAGAACATGAGCAGGGGGAGGGGTAGAGGGAGAGGGAAAGAGAAAACCCCAAGCAGACTCCCCACTGAGCTTGGACCTCCATCCACCTTGGGCTTAACAATGGCTGGATCTCAGGATCCTGAGATCATAACCTGAGCTGAAATCAAGAATCAGATGCTTAATTGACTGAGCCACCCAGTACAATTGACTGCGCCCTCCTGGGTTTTAACACCACAGAATAGTTTTGCCTGATTTTGAGCTTTATGTGAATGGAAACATAGGAGTTCTTTTGTATCAGGCTTTCTGGGTTCTATGTTTAAGAGATTCATTCATGTGTTGTTAATTATAACTAATTCATTCTTGCTGCTGAATGGTACTCCATTATGTAAACACACTATATTTATTCTACTGTTGGTGGACTTCTGGGAGTTTCCAGTTTGGGAAAATTGAAATAGAAACAGTGCTGCCATGAATGTCCCTGTACATGCTTTTAGTGAACACATGTATGCATTCTCACCAGATAAAAGTAGAATTGCTGTATACTTCTGTTCATAAGAGAATTCTGCTTGCTTCATTCCCATGTTATCTAAACTGTTGCTGAATACAGAAAAAGATGAAACTTTCTAAATATTTTCTTTTTTTTTCTAAATATTTTCTACAAGGATACTACTACCCTGATACAAAATTGAGAAAGGATAGGGAAAAAAAAGGAATATTATTGGTTAATGCCCTCTTTAATTAGGGATGCAAAGATACTACCGTCAGCAAACAGAACCCACAGATTAAAAAAAAAAAAAAAAAAAAAGGCAAGACCGGGACCAGAATGGGTTTATTCAGGAAGAGAAGTATCACTTAAAATTAGGAAATCTAGTAATGTATTAAAATGTATGTTAACTTATCAATTTCAATTATAAATATAATTCATTAAATTCCTATTAACTTATTAATATTGTTAATATAGTTCATTACAAGAGAAACTTTATTAATAATTCCTTTAAAAGGTTAAAGGAGGGGATCCCTGGGTGGCGCAGCAGTTTCGCGCCTGCCTTTGGCCCGGGGCGCGATCCTGGAGACGCGGGATCAAATCCCATGTCGGGCTCCCGGTGCATGGAGCCTGCTTCTCCCTCTGCCTATGTCTCTGCCTCTCTCTCTCTCTCTCTCTCTCTATCATAAATAATAAAAAATTTTTTTAAAAGGTTAAAGGAGAAAAAAAACATATAAACGGCCTAAAAAGCTGTCCATAATATTAAATTCACGTTTCTAGTAAAAATTCTAGAAACAGAGAGATACAAAGGTCCCTGCATCTTCCGTTCATTCTACTTTTCAGGTTCATTGTCTGTAACTACACCATAGACAGACTAACCCCTGCCTAAAACAACGGATGGGTTTGAATTTTTCCTTGCTTCTCTATTTATTAGCTGTGCAGCCTTGGGCAAGTTGCTCAACGTCTCTGTGATTTCCTCCGTACACAGTGCAAATAACTGTACCGATCATTAGTAGTCGGGATTAAGTCCCTTACACATGGACGGCTTCAGTGAGTCATTATTATCATCGCCTTTTAATTACAAGAATTTGTCCATCAGCCATCCCTTGACTGGACTGTGAGTGCCTGGAGAGCAGAGACAAACAGGGGCACGTTCCAGAACCTCAAGGAATGTTTGTGGGGCCCTGACCCCAGCTCTCCCAGCGTCTGGCCCTTCCTCCCCGCCCCGTCCACCTGTATCGCACGCCCGGTCACCACTCTTGAGAACACCTTCTTTGCACCAACCTTGATGGTGCTCATTACGTCGTTCCGAGTACTAAATGCACACACAGTGTTCCCGTTTCCGCTTTACAACACTTGGGGCGTGATAACCCCTAAGGACAAGTTGATTGTCACAATCATGTCGCAGTTTTTGTGTAGTTTTGTGTTCAGTTCCTTTAGGGCACAGCTGTCTCGTACTGCTTCGCTTCAGCGTCTGCAAAACACCACAGCCGAGGCCCCGTCCCAGGAGCCCGGTGCTAACGCGGCCCGGCTGGCGGGTAGCGGGGGGCGACCCCGCCCCGCCCCGAGGAAGGGGCGACCAGCCAACCAGGCGGCTTCCGCGCGGAAAGCCCCGCCTCCCGGGTTTTCACCCGTTATTCAAGTCCGAGCCAAGCTCCCGAGAAACGGATGCGCGCGCAGGGGTCCGAGGCCAGTTTGGGGGCGCCCGGGCCACACGACCCGCCGCGGCGGGCGCAGGCGGAACCTTCGTCCTCGGCTCCGTGTTTCCCGCGACTCCGCTCCTACCGCCACACGAGCACCCGGGGGCCACCGTCCCCGCCCCGAGGGCCTATTCCCAGAACGGTTTCCTGACTCTGAATAGTCATTTTGGTGTAACGACGAACAGACGTCCCAACGACTGAGGAGAGTCTCTCCGAGCTGCAGCTCCGTAGCGTGGCCCCGCGAGTGCCCGGTAGCCGGACGTGGGCGCACCCCGCGCAGAACCCGCCGCCGCCGCCGCCGCCGCCGCCGCCGCCGCGCCTCGCCCCGCGCGCGTGCTCGGACACGTGCTCGGACGCGTGCTCGGGCGTGCGCGTGCTCGGACACGTGCTCGGACGCGTGCTCGGGCGCGCGCGTGCTCGGACACGTGGTCAGGCGCGCGCCCGTGCACGCGGCCCCGCCCCGCCCCCGCCCCCGCCCCGCGCGCACGCCGCCCCGCCCCGCCCCGCCCCGCCCCCTGCCCCGCGCGCACGCCGCCCCGCTCCGCCCCGCCCCCCGCCGCCCTCCCTTCCGGATCTCTCAGTTGCGCCGCCGGGAGACCCCGTCGCCGGTGAGGGGCCCCGAGTCGAGCCCGAGCGCGGTGCCGGCCGGAGGAAGCCGCAGGAGACCGGGTGGGCCGGGCGAGCCGCCGAGAGTAGCGGGGCCTGCCCTGCACGCCCGGAGAGGAGTGGGAGGCGGGCGGAGTTACGGGAGGCCGCGCGGAGCGAGCGAGCGTGGGTCCGACTCGAGGTCGGGCTCAGGCCCGAGGCGGGTGGGCCAGGCCCCCCGAGCCGGCGTTGCGCGCGGCCTGGGACGCGCTGAGCGGGCGCGGAGGCGCGGGGCGAGCGAGGACGCATGGCCTCGCCATTCCTGACCGCGGGGGCCGCCACGGGCGACAGCGGCGGAGAGCTGAGCTCGGGGGACGACTCCGGCGAGGTGGAATCCCTCCAGGGCCCCGAGACCGAGACGTCCGGGAGCCTGGCAGAGCTCTTTGAGCAGGCTGCCGCGCGCCTCCAGGGCCTGGTTCAGGTGGCCAGCCGGGAGCAGCTCTTGTACCTGTATGCCAGGTACAAGCAGGTAAGGTCCCGGGAAGGGGGTGGGTGCGGGAGAGCGACAGGAGCGGCCTTCTCTGCCCCCCAGAATCTGATCGTACAGGTGCTTGGTTGATGGCTAGGTGGGATGAAGTTCGCGCGCGCGCGCGCGTGTGTGTGTGTGTGTGTGTGGGGGGGGTCATCTCCTAAAGCATTAGCATCATTCTGAATGTGGAAAGGGCCTGCCCGCTGTCCTGGGAGACAGAGGTGGTTGGACACCGAATGACAGTTTCCCGTGTCTTCTCTGACTTGTACAGTGACCTTGCACTCGTGCTTTTACCAGCTTCAGAACCTTTGTAAAATGAGGATGATGAAATAAGGTTTATCATTCACTCTTGCCAAAGGGTCATGTGGAGGGAATTATGGAAGTAATATGGCCATAGGGAAGTAATGTTAAAAAAGAAATTGTGAGATCCAGGAGAATTATGTGATCGTAATAAAAGGGTGATGCAAAATAAACCATTACTAGTTTTATTATTGTGATTTTTAAAAATCACAGATATATTAGACTTGTGTTTTGGCTTAATGGGCAGGAATTCTGACTGTTAGATACAATTATAGACATTTTAAAGCTAGTAAACGCCAGGTGAAACAATCCCCTTCCTTTGGGGGATAGGAAACAGAAGCCCAAAGAGAGTAGAAAACCTGTCCAGGGTCTTAGGGACAGATGGGTGGGAACTGGAACTAGATTGTAGCTCCTGACTCTGACTAAGGCTCTGAGCTTTATCTGGAAATAATAATCCTAATGTCATGTAAGACATGTATAATTTAGCATTCAAAGAGTCACAGGTACCAGAAGGAAAAATGATTGCTTTATCATAATCAACCAATAGTTGTATAACATCTTTTATGTGCAAAACACTTGGGTGTTAGCCTACAGGGAGTGCAAAGAAGAAAAAGCATGGTGGTATTTTCCTTCAAGAGACTTGGAAAGTTACATGAGGAGTCTAGATTTAAACACATGAAAATTGCTAAGAAGAGTTAGATAACATTTTAGGAAAACTCCAGCTCTTTGGAACACTGGAAGCAATGAGCACAATTTATTTCACTAAAATAATTTAGGGATGCCTGGGTGGCTCAGAGGTTGAGCGTCTTGCCTTTGGCTCAGGGGGGATAAAGTCCCACATCGGGCTCCCTGCATGGAGCCTGCTTCTCTCTCTGCCTATGTCTCTTCCTCTCTCTCTCTGTGTCTTTCATAAATAAATAAATAAATAAAATCTTAAAAAAAATTTTTTTTTACCGTTGTTTTACTTCTTGATATCTATTCCCTTATGCATTCTTTTAAGAAAAAAATAGTTTTAAGACCCCTCTGTAGGGGATCCCTGGGTGGCTCAATGGTTTAGTGCCTGCCTTTGGCTCAGGGTGTGATCCTGGAGTCCCGGGATCGAGTCCTGGGATCGAGTCGTGCATTGAGCTCCTTGCATGGAGCTTCTTCCTCTGCCTCCATCTCTGCCTCTCTCTCTCTCTCTCTGTGTGTTTCTCATGAATAAATAAAATCTTAAAAAAAAAAAGATCCCTCTATATTCTTCAACTGAATATACTGAATAGCGATGAACTATCTTTTGAGGACTGGTGAATTTGAATTATGAATACCAGTTAAAGTGACTTGAGAGACATAGCTGTAGATAGATACGGTATAAATTACAGTGTTGAATGAAAATTGCCCTTGAATTGGCTTTGGAATTTCTTTCTTGCAGAAGTTCTGGATATCTTTTTCTCTTTGGTTATTTTCCTTGTCCCAATAACATCAAAATGAGACTTTCAGTTATTTAACAAGAGTTTATTGAACATTCTGCTAGGACCTTTAACATGTCTGACTGCTAATTCTTCGGGCAGCATAAAACTGTTTTTCTCCAAATTCCCTAGAGAACATTCTTTTTCTTTCTAGGACATAACTTTATTACTGATATTAGTGTCATCATTATTAGTATCTGATTTCTGGATTATCAGTGAACTATAGTCATCTGTTAACTGGTAACCATTCTGTCTCAAGTATACTCACTTAATCCTGGAAGTGGTGTGTCCCTCACCCTTTCAAGAACTCCATGTTAAGGTGTTTAGAAATATTCTGTATCTGGAAATAAAATTCTTCATTATTAGAAAATAGGATTATGCTTACTTAGATATGACATTGGGATGCAATTTTCATCCATTCTTCTAAATTTTTTTTTCTTTTTTTTTTTTTTTTGAGAGGAAGAAAGAATTGTAAGCAGGCTCCATGCCCAGTGCAGAGCCTGATGCAGGGCTCCATGCCATGACCCTAAGATCATGACCTCAGCTAAAAATCAGGAGTCAGATACTTAACTGACTGAGCACCCAGGTGCCCCTAAATATATTTTTTAAAGGTTTTATTTATTTATTCATGAGAGAGACACAGAGAGGGTGAGACACCGGCAGAGGGAGAAACAGGCCGCATGCAGGGAGCCCGACATGGGACTCCATTCCAGGTCTCCAGGATCACGCCCTGGGCTGAAGGCGGCACTAAACCACTGAGCCACCAGGGCTGCCCTAATTTTTTTTTTTTTAACAGAATTCTGAGATAGTGTTAAAAATCTTTGATTTTTTTGATTAGCATCTTTGATAAAATAATAAAATTGAAATGCCAATATAATTCTTGCATGGTGGATCAGATCTCTCATGAAATAATTATGTTTTGTATTTGGAGTAGCACTGTATTTTGGAGGCCAAATGAAATAGTTGTCCCCAGGAGGATGATAAAAATAAGCAGAGCTGTGAGCCTTCTCTTCTTAGGCAGAGCTCCAAACTTACCTAACATAATAGCTCTTTTAGCCTCACATAAGCCTGTGGCTTCAAAATCATCTTTTAGTGAAGTTTCAAATAGATCACACCAATGAACTGGTACTCCACATTATCCTACACTTTCCCATCAAAAGATCACTAATTGACTCCTGTGAAAACTCCAGGACCGTGAAAATTTCAAATCCCTGTTAGCTTCATTTTACAGGACCCTTCAGCACTAGCACAGTGAAGATTCTCAGCATGTTCTACTTTAACCTGCTCACACATAATTCACTGGCATTTGCCATTAGCCCCCTTTGTTAAATATTCCGTTTTAAGGGTCGCTGGATATATCCTGTATGTATCAGAACATACTGTTCTGTTAAGGTGGCACATTTTGTAACTCTGCTTTATAGCTTATGATTCATTATTAATGATTTGGAAACTGTTTCTCATCATGTCCTAAAACCCTGTAGTTTTATTTATCCAGTCTTTTCTGATCCAGAACAATTCTTTGAATTGGGGAATACAGAAGCTTCTGTTTCAGAATACAAGGTCAGCTGCTGAGCTTTTATTTTCATCACACATAATGGTCTGGAGGTAGGTGATCTAGGGCTGGTAGGGTGATTTTGCTTCATGAGATCACCCAGGGGCTTAAGTCTTTTTCTGTCCTGTAGTTCAGCCATCCCCAAAGGCAGCAGTTCTCAAATTATGGTGTAGAGACCCCTGAGAATCCCTGAGACTTTCTCAGGAGATCTATAAGATCAGAACTATTTTAATGATAATACTAAAACAATATTTGCCTTTCTTCTGTGTGGTAAAACTGCTGGTACATCAGCATGAATCAAGGCTGAGCAGCAAACTACCAGTAGTCATATATTTTTAGCACCATGTACTCAGTTTAAAAAAAAAAAAAGCCAATTTCACTTAAAAATGTCTTTGATAAAGCAGTAAAAACTATTGATTTTTATTAAATATTAACTCTTGAGTACAGGTCTTTCTAATATTGTATGTGATGAAATGGGGAGTACACACAAAGCAGTTCTGCACACTGCATTATGTTGGTTATTTTGAGGAAAAGCACTTGTGTAATTTTTGAGTTGCAAGCTGAGCTATCCACATTTTATGTGAAACATCATTTTTCCTTAATAGCACAACTCACAGATAAACTATGTTTATTTAAATTTGAGTATTTGGCAGATGGCTTCTTCAAAGTGAATGAAGTGAGCCTGTCACTTTAAGGAAAACAACTGCCAGTATTTGTTGCCAATGGTGGTGTTTGAGCCTTCAAGTGAAAATTAGAGGTTTGGCAAATCTGTGTCACATGAACTTGACAGCTTCCTAATACTTAAAAACTTTTTCGATGAGATTAATGGTGATTTTAATGATTGTAAACTTTGGCTCTTGTATAATGAAATGTGTCAGCGTTGGAAGGAATGTATAACTTAGTGAACCATATTTTTCAAATATTGCATGAAATGTTACAAATTATGTGTGATCCATTCATTTTTTTTTTCCCAGATGCTTCCCCCCTCCCCCATGTGATCCATTCAAAGTGCAAGTCAGACCAATGGATTTTATTTTATTTTTTAGATTTTATTTATTTATTCATGAAAGACACAGAGAGAGAAAGGTAGAGAGGTAGACAGAGGGAGAAGTGGGCTCCAGGGCAAGGAGCCTGATGTGGGACTGGATCCTGAGACCACGGGATCACGCCCTGAGCCAGGGGCAGGTGCTCAACCGCTGAGCCACCCAGGCGTCCTAGACCAAGGATTTTAATGTAACAGTAGGAAAAATTCATTGATGTGACATCAGCGTCCACATTGCATCTAACCTTAAAGAAACTGCCACTTACTGAGTTTTGGTGTTGTATTGAAGAAGAGTATCCACAATTATCTGAAAATGCTATTAAAATACTTCTTTCTTTTTTAACAGTGCATCTATGTGAAGCCACATTTTCTTCATATACTTCAACCAAAGCAACATATTGCAATAGATTAAGGCAGACATTAAAGAGATGTGCAAAATGTAAAACAATGTCACTCTTCTAAGTTTTTTTGCTTTAGAATATACTTTTCATAAAATTTTGTTACTTATGTTAACTTAATGAGTTTATTATTTTTAAATGAATTAATACATATTTTAAAAATATCTTTTAAATTTTAATATGGTAAATATGATAGATACAACCCACATAAACAAAGCTCCTTGGGGTGCATGAGACCAAAAAGTTTGAGAACTGTTTACCTCACATCTCTTTCCATGGCCAAAGATGGCTCACCATCACTACATGCATGTTCTCCCTTTCTTTTCAAGGAAGATATTTATATCACTTTCATGCACATTTAGTCCCCTGAACTCAGACTGAAGTTGCACAGTCACATGTAATGTTTAGCTGGGTGACCGGGTGTCTGGCTGAGACTTCTGTAACTGTAGGAGAAATAGAGATATTAGTATTTATTTCTACCGCTGGCTAGTATCTCATTAAAAAAACAAATAGTAATGACTGCTGGTTTTATGATGTGTCATAGTTTCTCTCCTGTTTCTGATAATCCAGTAGTTCTAGTGATTTTGGAGATGCCAGAATTGAGGCTTAGATAGGATGTGGCAGGTAAAACAGAGGGGTATAGAAAAGGAATATTGGACTTTGGAGTCAAACCGTCCTAAATTCAAATGCTGACTCCTAATTCAGGATTTGCTAATGTGTGAACTCTGACAACCCTCCTCAGTTTCTCTGTACTCATTTCTACAATGGGTTTATAATGGCAAACCTAGCAGGATGGTTTATGTGGCTCATTTACCATAACAAATGAAGCATTTGGTTTACGGTGATGAAGAAATGCAGTTCCTGCTCTGTCACTGTTTTTTCCCCTCCATCCACTTATTCTAGAGTTGTTCCTGTATAAGTGTACATTGTAATATCCATCGGAGGGCCGTGTGATTAATTGCTAAGCAGATGATGGAGATGTTATTTGTTATGACTTCAGAGATGGGTGAGATCACTGGAGACCAAGCATTCCTACAGTCTCAACCTAGAGGGGACTGAAAACTGTGAAAAGCTGAAGGAAGAGGAAAAGGCATTTTGGAGAGGGGGTGGTAATGAGTGAAACTGAGAAAGTACTCAAAGCAGTGAGAAGTCAGTCTAGTTAGCGAGTACACATCAGTGTGATCTTAGCAAAATTCAAGTGTGTAACAGTAGATGGCTAGAAGGTCTCTGAGAAGTAGACGGGAGTTGGATTGTGGTATTAGAAAGGTAGGTGTCTGGTTGGATACGTGCCTACCACATTCATTCCACATTCAACAAACATTTTTTACTACCTCAAGTTAGGCGCCATAAAAGGTGCAGGGAGGGAGTTAATGGTTTCCTAGAGGCTGTGTTCTGATAGGAAGATGAGACTACACAAAACTTTCTAACACCAGGTAAAAGTGGAAAGTGGAGTAAAAGCTGTGAGAGTTCATCAGAAAGAGATTGCTTCTGGCAGTGGGAATCATGGGTTGTATGAATTCGGCACTGGTGTGAAATTTCATTTATGTTTATTGACGATGAAAATATAGTTCACTACAAATATTATTTGAGGATTACATATAAGTATTGACTACAAACAAGAAAAGATTATTGTGGAGTAGATAGAATTTATATTGTTGAAAAACCCTTGAAAAGTTTTGCACTGCTGTTAGCATCTATTGTTGTATCAATTAGTTTCATAGTAGGATACTTTACAAATAGTGTACTTTATCCTGGAGTTTGGGAGAGATAAAATGCTGATAGTATAATGAGAATCACCATAAATAAACAATATTATGAATTCTGATAAACTGTACTTTAAAGCTTGTTTATTACACGTTTAAAAATTCTTCTATATAATAAATGCTAATAAGGAGTACATTATCTGTATTAATAATTTGCTCTGTATATATAATTTGTCTACTAGGTTAGGAATGCAAGTTTTTTATTGTATCAGAATTTTTTTTTTGTATCACAGTATTTTTTTTTTAATGTATCACAGTATTAGACGATGGTTGCTTTATGCTGTAAGCCAAAGCAGCCTGTATTTAAAATTCGCTTTTTTTTGCCTTTGCAAAGAATGTTAAATTTTGTTATTCTAATAGACTAATGTAAATATTTTCTAACCTATAGTTGCTGAGTATACGTAATACCTATGAAAAATAAAATTTTCTCTGGCATTTCTTTGAAAAATAAGTTCTTGATTTATTTTTTTCTCTCCTTTCAATTAGGTCAAAGTTGGAAATTGTAATACTCCTAAACCAAGCTTCTTTGATTTCGAAGGAAAGCAGAAATGGTAAGAAATTCTCGAAATCTAATGAGGTTGTTGGAAATGGTTTAGGTGTTTAGGAATTAGAAAGTGGTGAGCAGATTAAAGAATTATTTTTATATTAATCTCTGCTGTAGACTGTGCTAACAACAGGCAATTGGGAGAGAGATTAAAAGAATCCGCTTTAAGCTAAGTCTCCTAAAGGATTCTCATGCCATGATGTTGGTATATATACATAGTTCACAACAGACATACTTTTCTTACATATGAATAGCTTCTTAGAGAGTGATGGTAAGAGTTATTGTTTGAGATTTTCCTATCCTGTCATGCATCCTCTAATGGCTAACAACTTATGCCCTGTGGAGGAATCTTTGGAAGGAGGACAGGAGGATAGGAATGGTGAAAAAAAGGATAAATTCCTAATTTTATCTTCTTAACTCTAATGCTCTTCTATAACTTGCCCCACCCACACTATAGTGAATAAGTACTTATAATAGCCTGTTGGGAAGAAAGGGAGAAAAAAAAAAAAAAAGATACTGAGTCTACTTTCCTGAATCGATAAAAAGATTATCCCATTTCCAGTTTTTTTTTACTTCTAATTCAGAAGTTCCTTATCATATCAGGCTTTATTTACTCTTACCTTGTCTAAGTGAAAAAAAGAGAACTATATACAATAGAGACTCTTAGTTATAGGAGGAAGGACTCTGGAGAATCAGTCGTGGAATTAAAAGTATAAAGCATAGGGTTTAAAAAAAGAGAAATATGAAGAGTGCTATACTATAAATGGATTCTAACTACAGTTTAGAGCAGTGCTGCTCAAAATGCGGTCCCCTGACAAGTTACCTATGAACTCTTTGTTACCCAGCTGTAAAGAGATGCAAAGCTTGAACTTGAATGTAAATCAGTTATTATGTCATTAAGCCCATGTTTAGTTCAGCTGGCTTTTTTTGTGTAGGACATTCTCAGTGAAGGAAGCAGTGCTTTGATTTCCATTCTGGCAGAAGCTTTCTTTGCTGATGATAACAGTTTTCCGACACTTTACTACTGTTGTGGAGGATACATGATGCAACTTTCACTGTGAGCTTTTTGTTTTAATTTATGAAATTTTATAACTTCAGCATTATTTCTTCCCCATGCTTGCCTGGTTTTTCATTGTTTTTAGCAATTTTAAAAAGTTTTGATTTTATTTTTTTATTTTTGATTTTATTTTTTTTTAAAGATTTTATTTATTTATTCATGATAGTCACAGAGAGAGAGACAGAGAGGCAGAGACACAGACAGAGGGAGAAGCAGGCTCCATGCGCCGGGAGCCCGACGTGGGATTCGATCCCGGGTCTCCAGGATCGCGCCCTGGGCCAAAGGCAAGCGTCAAACCGCTGCGCCACCCAGGGATCCCAAAAGTTTTGATTTTAAAACCTCTATATTAATTCAGGCAAGAATCATCAATGGGTGCTGAAACCAATAGATGAAAAACTACTGAGGAGCAGCATTTACACAATTTGACCCTCAGTTTACTTTTTAATTACAAGGAAGACAAAAGGGGATACTGCTTTTACCAAGTCTGTAATCGTTCATTGATGATGGGTAAAACTGATGGTATGTGCCCCCAGTGTGATATAGTATGATACATATGCCAAAACGTTTAACCTGATTCTCCTCATGGTTAATCATTTTGGGCAAGAACACCCTGTAAGTGAGGAAACAATCAGAAAAATTCAAATTGAGACATATTTTATAAAGCAAGTGGTTTGGACTCTTAAAAAAATATCAATATCATGAAAGAAAGGCTAAAGATACATGAAACTCAATGCTATGTGTGAATCTTGATTGACTCATGGTCTCGGAGAAGAAATCCATAAAGAACATTTTTGGGAAATGCGGGAAATCTGAAGGTAGATCTGTATTTATATAATAGTATTGATGTTAAATTTCCTCAGTTTGATATATGTGGATATAATTTTAGGGGTAGTGTGTTGGAATGTATACAGGTAACCCACAAGAGAGTCAGTAAAAATAAATTTGGAAAATTTCAGAAAGATGTTATATCATTATGGGAGCAGGAAGGTAGTGAAAAAACTGCACTGTTTTACAGTGAATTAGTGGATCTACTTCCTTGTTAAATGTAGAAAGAATTGGCAGGGCAAAACCAAGAAGGATCCTGTCTTGGCAGCTTGCAGAAAAAAGAAACAGAGGATGACTCAGAAGGGGGCACGGGACTAAAATATTCCTCTTGGTTTTTACACTGTAGGTAGTCCCTACCTTATTACTCAATAGAATTCTTACTTCTGTCCTTACCAGTCCTCACTTTTGAAGTTCTTGCCTCAGGATCCACTACTACCAGCTTAGAGATGAGAAAACAGCAGAAGGGGAAGGTGTTTTTCTCACAGCTTACATAAGAAATTCAAAGCATTTTCTCAGGGAATAATGTTTTGTGTGATGGTTGGTTCGCATGTTACCAAAATGCTGTATAAGGTGGAAACTACTTTTTTTTGTTTTGTTTTTGTTGGAAACTACTTTATTGGTCTGTAGGTCATACATTCTCAATAGGGATGAAAAGTGGGTTTTGAGGAGTTGTAAAATTGTGGATATTATAATTTTTTATGGTCTTCCAAAGCTCATTTGATATATGAGTTGTATATCTGTGTTATATAATTTCATGGGGGAGGGTGATTAGGGAAAAAAAGTCTAAAAAGGCTCCTTTGGTGATGGGGTATAAGGTGTGCGTTGGTATAGACCATTGTGAATGCAAAAAGAGAACTATTCATCTATGGCTTATTATATCTGTGTCTCACATTCTTAAAATGTGCATACCAATTTTTTAATACTAAGAAGGAATGTGCCATTTGTGTTAATTCCATAGATAATGAAAGATCATTTTGGATATTCTTTACTCTAGGGAAGCATGGAAAGCACTTGGTGATTCAAGCCCCAGCCAAGCAATGCAGGAGTATATTGCAGTAGTTAAGAAATTAGATCCAGGTTGGAATCCTCAGGTAAGATTTGATGATTGTAAGTAATACTTCCAAAAACGTACCATCTTCCTCTCAATTAAAAGTTGAAAACCAAGCATAGGCTTAAGTAACATTCTTTTTCTTTTTCTTTTTCTTTTTTTTAAGATTCTATTTATTTGAGAGAAAGAGCACAAGGTGGGGGTGGGTAGTGGTGGTGAGGGGAAAAGGGAGAGGGAGAAACAGACTCCCTGCTGAGCATGACTACCTTTTTGAAGTCATTGAAACATTTCCTGATGTTTTTGATGTACGTGAATATTTTCAGAAATATTCCGTTTTGTTAATATCTTTTATGAAACATCAAGTTTATATACAAATGTGTATCTATTGTAAAGGTCCTAAGGACTTGGTATCTGAAATTCAGTGGTAAAAGCACATGTCCCTCTGAGCTGAACAGCCTGAACACATATGCCACAATGTTTAAAAAGCAAAACAAAACTTGAGTTTGAATGTGTTTCAATGAGTACTTTACTCTTCAGTCTCAGTGGTCTTAGTTCTTTCTTCCCTGTTGATTTTGCATGAGTGTTTCTGATGCCTGGCCTATGTAGGCGTTTGAGTTTGTAAGTTCTGATAAATGACAGAATTTATGATTTCTTACCTTCAATACCTTAATTACTAAATAAAAATCTGTTAACCAGCACTCTCTCTTTTTTTTTTTTTTTTTTTTGAGATTTATTTATTTACTGGAGAGAGAGAGAGAGAATGTGTGGGTGCACAGGAACTGGGGTAGGGGCAGAGGGAGAGAATCTTCAAGCAGACTCCTCACTGAGCCTGGAGCCTGACTTTGGGCTTGATCTCACGACCCATGGATCATGACTTGAGCTAAAACCGATAGTGGGTACTCAAGTGACTGAGCCACCCAGGTGCCCCTGTTAGCTGTAACTCTTACAAATGGTTGCAGAGTCCATGTGGTTAGGTAGTTCTTCCTTAAGGAAATTTAAACAGCAGTAAGGGTGCTTTTTAAAAATATGTAAATGTCACCTATTGAACATAAATTTGAGAAAACCAAGCTGAATCAAAGGCACTTTCATTTTTTTTTAAAATAAATTAATTTTATTGGTGTTCAATTTACCAACATACAGAATAACACCCAGTGCTCATCCTGTCAAATGTCCCCCTCAGTGCCCGTCACCCACTCACCCCCACCCCCTGCCCTCCTCCCCCTCCACCACCCGTAGTTCATTTCCCAGAGTTAGAAGTTCAAAGGCACTTTCAAATAAAGATCATTCTCTCAGGGTTGTGAGATCGAGCCCTCTGCTGAAGATTCTCTCTCCCTCTGCTCCCCCCATGCTCCCCACATGTGCATGCACTCTCTTTCTCTTAAAAAAAAAAAATCAAAGATCATTCTTGTAATACATTGTTCTCAACATTTCTTGCCATCCATAATCTAGTTCTAAAGAGGAATTTTATGTTTTGTTTACATTTTGTTTTTAATTTAAACATCTGAGCTGATCTCCTGTGACTCAGCTTTATTTCCCCTTCTTTCTGACTGATATGAAGTATATCATAACTGCAATCTCAAGACATTTGATATTCCAGTTATTATCTTTTAGGTTAAAGCATCATTTTCTTTTGATACTAGTTTCTGAAACCAGTGAAGTAATAATAGTTCTCATTGCTGAATGTGTTAAGCTCTTTACATGTGTTGTCTTTGAAATCTTCATAAGAATCTTAAGATTTTTTATTTTTTTATATTTATTTATTTGTTTATTTATTTTTAAGATTTTTTTATTTTTAACTAATCTCTACACCCAATGTGGGCCTCAAACACATGACCCAAAAATCAAGAGTTGCATGCCCTACTGACTGAGCCAGCCAAGTGCCCTCACAAGAATCTTAAGAATTAAATTAGAAACTTTTATTGTCTGCATTTTAAAAATGAGGAAATTCAGATACAGAGTAGTTTAGTATCTTGTCCAAGATTAGCCAGCTAATAAATGATAGTGCTAGGATTTGGACATATATGTATTGGAGCCCCAATCTTTAATCTTTTCCACAGCTGACGTTTTGTATTTACATGTATTTACATACATGGACATTTGTGTGTGTGTGTGTGTGTGTGTGTGTGTGTGTGTGTGTGTATAAAACGTATGTATAGTATCCATCTAAATTTACGGGGTTGTATGTGTATAAAAAATTCAAGTAAAGGTAGTTACTATTTTAATCAAAGCTCCATAGACTATAAAGTGAAGTATAAAATGAACAGTGTTGGGATGCCTGGTTGAGCATCTGCCTTTGACTCAGGTCATGATCCCAGGGTCTCAGGATCCAGTCCCACATCAGGCTCCTTTCTTGGAGCCTGCTTTTCCCTCTGCCTATGCCTCTCTCTGTGTCTCTCATGAATAAATAAATAAAATCTTAAAAAAAAATGAACAGTGCTTTATAATGTAAACCCTTGACTGTGTTTTCTGTTCTATTTGTCTTATCTCAAGAATATGCTGTTGAGGGGCACCTGGGTGGTTCAGTGGTTGAGTGTGCCTTTGGCTCAGGTCATGATTCCAGGGTCTGAGGTGGATTCCCACATCAGACTCCCCTCAGGAAGCCTGCTTCTCCCTCTGCCTGTGTCTCTGCCTTTCTCTGTGTCTTTCATGAGTAAATGAATAAAATCTTTTCAAAAAAGTTGATTATCCAGTCAAGGCGGTTCTTTTGCCTTATTTGGTTTCTTGCCGGGGGAGAAGGGTAAGTTTGTATTTTGGCATAACTTATTTTTATTGTTTTTGACAAATAAAAATTATATATATTTAAGGTGTACAACACAATGTGCTATTTGATATATATATATATTTATACATTGTGAAATAATTCTCACAATCAGACTAACATTTTCATTACCTCTCATGGTTATCCTTTTTTTTTTTTTTTTTTGATACTGAGAACCCTTGGTATCTACTTTCTTAGCAATATATTATTGTTAGCTAATATATTAATAACTAATAGTGGTACATTATTAATGTATACTTGATATAATTTTTTTAAAGTTTCAGAAATAGTGCAAGGAACTTTTGGATAGTCTTTAGATACATCAATTGTGTAGTGTTTTCCCTATTTACACACACACTCAAAATTTTTTGAACCACTTTAGATAAATTGCAGATATTATGTCCCTTAATTACGAAATACTTCATTATTTCTTATAACAAGGACTTTATTTTCTGTAACTACATCATCATTATAAAAATTGGGACGTTTTTGGTGTCATGAGTTCTTTTGAAATTTCTTTTTTTTCTTTTGTAGACCCTCTGGACTCAGAGTCCCTGTAAGGCATTCCACACACACCCCTAATTGTATATATTAAGGTACATACTGTGATTTGATATACATGTAATGAAATGGTTACTGCAGTCAAACAAATTAATATATCTTCTTCGAGTTACCTTTTTTTGTGGTGAGAGTACCTGATTTTTACTCTTTCAGCATATTTTCAGTATCAATGCAGTATTATTATTATTATTATTGTTAAAGATTTAATTTATTTATTCATGAGAGACAGAGAGAGAGAGAGAGAGAGGCAGAGACACAGGCAGAGGGAGAAGCAGGCTCCATGCAAGGAGCCCGATGTGGGACTTGATCCTAGGACTCTGGGATCACGTCCTGAGCCAAAGGCAGAGTGTCAACTGCTGAGCCACCTAGGCGTCCCATGATGCAGTATTATTTATTGTAGTCATCATGCCTGTATATTATTATTATTTAAAAAAATTTTTTTAAAGTAAGCTCCATGTCCATTGTAGAGCTTGAACTCATGACCTAGGAGATCAAGAGTCATGTGCTCTGCCAACTGAGCCACCCAGGTGTCTCTATCATGCCTGTATATTAGATATCTAGACTTATTCATCCTACACAACTGCAACTTTATACTCTTTGACCAGCATCTCCCTATCTCCCAGTCCCCGCCAGCCCCTGGTAACCACTTAATCTGCTTGCTGCTTCTGTGAGTTTGACTTTTTAATTTCATTAAATTTTATATAAAAGCAAGAGCATATTTATCTTTGGTTTATTTTACTTAGCATAATTTCTTCCAGGTTCACCTATATTGTCACAAATGACAGATTTGCTTCTTTCTCAGGGGTGAATAATATTCCATTGTTTGTATATATACCACATCTTCTTTATTCATCCCTAGGTAGACACTTAGGTTGTTTCTGTATCTTGGTTATTGTGAGCAATGCTGCAGTGAACATGAGAGTACACGTATCTCTTCAAGATCTTGATTTCATTTCCTTTAGATGTATACCCAGAAGTAGCATTGTTGGATGATATGAGAGTTCTGTTTTTAATTTTTAAAAGAAGATTTTATTTATTTGAGAGAGCCCATGGGTACCCGCCCATGAGTGGAGGGAGGGGCAGAGGGAGAAGGAGAAGCAGACTCCCTGCTGAGCTCAGAGACCGATGTAGGGCTGGATCCCAGGACCCTGAGATCATGACCTAAGCCGAAGTCAGATGCTTAATCAACTGAGCCAGCCAGGTGTCCCCTATTTTTAATTTTTTGAGGAACCTCTATGCTATTTCCCATAATGAATGTACCAATTTATATTCCAATCAGTGGTGTACTACCACAGTAGTTCTTTTTTCTCAAAATCAGGAATTTTAACATGATTTGTATTATTTGTTAAATCTAGGATCCATATTCAAGTTAATCATTTATTTTTAAAAATCTCCTTCATAGTTACTTTAAAACATTCTGATCCATCATCCAATCCAGGATCATGCACTGTATTTAGTTGTCTCCTTAGTCCCCTTTAGTCTAGAACAGTTGCTTAGCCTTTCTTCTTCTCTCTTGATTGTGATAGTTTTGAAGAATATAGGCTATCTCTTTTATAGAATGTCCCAGTTTGGGCTTGTCTGATGTTTCCTCTTAATTAGATTCAGATTATAAATTTTTAGGAGAAATACCATGAAATGTGTCCTTCTCAGTGCATTGTACCAGGAGATACAGGATGTCTGTTTGTCCCAATATTGGTTATGTTAACTTTGATCACTTGCTTAAC